TTAAACAAAAGAAACTATTTAAAATTTTACAGTGTCAGTATTTAAAATTCAGGGCTTTGGTGCAAAAACAGGATAAATGCATTTTTGACTGTAAACAATATAGCTATTTTGATAAGAACTATAACCAGACTCGAATATATCATCAACTCACCCTCTTGGATAGTATATAGGCTAAGGAAAAACTACTTAAATCAATTGTAATTTTATAATTTCATTTGGCTCTCATAAACAATTTGAGAATTTAATTAATCTTTTTCTTGATCTAAGGCCCTCAAGTTCCTCCTTCTTTTAAAGTTTGTTTGTAAAATATCATTTAAGCGCTTCAATTTTTTTTTTTTCGTTTCAAAAATCTTTACAATGTTGGATCGGTTAAAAAAGCATTAAAGGACAAGAAAGGGAAGATTAAGAAAATTTATCAACAAAAAAAAACCCTTATCACTGCGCATTAGGAAATAAATAATATAAGAGTTTATAACAGGGCTCGAACATGCCTGGGGCATGTAAAAACTTTGATACGGCGTTTATTTAAATATTCAATCACAAATACCGCTCTAATTAAGCTCCCCTAAAATTTTGACAAAAATAATCAAGTTTTGGATGTGGTGAGAAAAAAACAGCGTATAGATGATTGTTTTTTACTTATAGTAATTCGGAAAAGGTTATGAAATCTAATTAACACCAGATTTAAAATCACAATTTAATTCCAGTCTTCTGATATGAAATCATTTCATTTCTTTTACACAGCAGCGGACAAAACTAAAATTATGATGAATCAAATAATAATTTTCTAATTGTATTAAAGATAAATAGAATTAAAATAATAATGAACTACAAAATATAGGATTGCAGCTCAATGTTTCTCTTCAATGTTTTCTGTACCACGAAACTGTTTTCTGTACAGCACAGCACAGCAATATACAATAGCTGATGTCGAAAACAAAACACTATTTCAACCGTGATATTGTGTTTTAGCAGACTTGTATTTAAATGCAAATAACTGCCAAAATTATCATGATTTCAAATTGTCAGCAAAATACAGATAATTTGTTCAATATATTTTTGAAATTTTTATGTTGTCCCTTATAAGCAATGTTGAATTTTACAGTTTTATCTTTCCTTATTTTTTCAAAAAGAACTGATATTTGATGGAAAATAATTAAAACAGGATCACATATTTCTTTTTAATTGGAATCTGTAAAAATTGAAAACGTTGATAATTAAAATTTGAGAACTCTATTGTTCATCTTTACATTGACTGCCTGGTGCTTTCAGTTCAAGCCTGTTCGTCTGTTGTTGTTGTTGTTGTTGTAGTTATAGTTAATTTACGTCGCACTAGAGCTGCACAATGGGCTACTGGCGACGATCTGGGAAACATCCCTGAGGATTATTCGAAGACATGTCATCACAATTTTGATCTTCTGCAGAGGGGATGGTACCCCCGCTCTGGCAGCCCGACGACCTGCGCGCGAAGTCGAGCACTTTACGGTAGAACAGTTTAACGAGGACCAATACCGCACACCCTTGGTCCCTACGCAGACTAATACAAGTGGTCACCAACCCGCACACTGACCGCAGCCAGTGATGCTTGACTTCGGTGATCTGCTGGGAACCGTGACCCTGTTCGTCTGAGTTACGCTTTCAAGCAAATGTTCAACTGATTTCTTAGTTCTCAAATGATCTGGAAGATAAACCTTTGTTTAACTCGAAATATGACGAGAAAATTCAGAAAGTTCATAAACTTTAATTATTTTATTAACTTATTTATTTTTTTTACTTGCGATTCTTTGTCTGAACTATGAACGATTAGTTTTTTATACGTTTTCAATTTCGATCTTCGCTAGCCAGATAAAACGAAACATTTTCGCGAATAAAAATCCTCAACTATAAAGTATTCTGCAAATAATTAATTAACTTTCGTAACTTGTTTCAACCATTTAGTTGGTATCTCTATTTGGTAAAATTTGTTTGAAAATTACAAATTTTTTTAAGAAAATGTTTCAATTTTTATGAAACAACTCTATATTGGTTCCTACCACAGGGACAAGATTAAAAAAAAAAGCTAAAAATAGAAATCCAAAAATGGTATATGCAAAAACACAGTAATAATTAGAAAAAAGGCCTGAAAATTAAGCGAGAAAAAAATATATGTAGGAAGCATTTATCCACAGAAAGTTATCAACGTTTTTCTAAAAATATCAATACGAGGTTTTACTTACTTGTTCAAAATTTTTGAATATGAATATCAATGTGCGATTTTTAAGTCACGCGAATAAGAATTTCGATATTTAATTTTAGCATCGCTTGAATACAAACCTCGATGTTTGATTTTAAAATCGCATGAATACGAATCTCGATGTCAGATTTTAAAATCACGTGAGTACAAAGTTCAATATTTGACTTTAAAATCGAGTAAATACGAATTCCGCTGCAAAATTCTTAAGTAACTTGAACACGAGTCATAATATTGGCTTTTATACGAAATGCACGATATAATATCGTGAAAATACGAAACACGATGAGTGATTTCAAATCATGTGAATGTAATTTTAAATCGTGTTTGCATACGCATCATAAAGCATGAAAATTAATCATTTTCGATTCTCGGACATTTGAAAACGATGAACTTTCTTCGAAAGAGTGGATTTTTTTTAAATAAATTGAAAAAAAAAGCGGAAGACACTCAACCAACATGCTTGAAAGTCAACGGCAGTAAAGTCACGGGAAAAGTGCGGTATATCAAAGCAGAGAAAGAAATTCTCGTATCGGTCTCTGTCAGAGGATAAGGTAATTTCTATAGGTTTTTTTTTTAGTTTTTTTTCTCCGTAGAACTAAAATAATTACAGCGATTGTGATGAATTTTCCGCGAGCGGTGTTCGTATATTATACATTACACTCGCTAATTTTTTATTGTTGTTCTTTTCTATTTTCTTTTAAATAGTCATCACCCTGATTGCTCCATTGAGGGGGGAAATCGCCTACTTCGGGGGCAATCATCCCTAGGTTAGGAACCTTTGAGCTAAGAGGTTAAAATGCATTTTGACAGGATTTTTAAAAATAGGACTCAAGGGCTGCAAAAATTGAGGTAATCTTATACTCATATATTCATTAAATCATTCAAATTAGTCAAATATTCATTAAATCAGCATAAATAAATATTTGTCTTGTTAATGTTTTAGTATATCAAGTATAATTGTTTTTATACTTGCTTAATTTTATAATGTAAATCTTATTAAATAAATTATACTACTTGTAATTAACACTAGAAAGACTGAAACTTAGTACATACCTATATTGCCCAAAAGCAGTCAAAATGACTTGATTATGAAAAAATAACTAATGAATAAAAAATTTGTTTAAAATTAGTTTTTATTATTTTTTTTATTATTTACAGTTATCTAACAAGTTATTAGTAAATATTGACAATAAAAAAATTATATGTTGTACAAAAAATCACGAAATTCTAAGAAATTGTGTCATTATATACATCATTGTTTTTCTAATTGAAATTAAAAAGCAGTCAAAATGACTTCCTTACGCAATCTAGTGTTAAATAGGGAAGAGTTTCTTGAAACAACAAATTATATA